CGTTCCTTGCAGATTGTCCACAGATTCTCGTTTGGATTTAAATCAGGAGAGTTTCCAAGCCAGACGATAGTACTTTGATTTGCTCACTGGTAGCGTTATAATTTTCGTACGCTTCCTTGAAGTAACATCCATCGATGAAAATAGCCGTAGGACAAATAATCGACAGTCGAGACAATAGTGTCTAGGCTTGATAAAAATCTGATGCATTCACGGATGACGAAATATTTTTCAAGGCCAAACAAATTTCACCATACACCCCGAAAATAGATTCATATTACTGCACACCACTGCAAATGGCCTAATCTGTGGAAAAATATAAATCGATTACATCCAATGGTTCTAAAACTGACCCTATGGTGAAAGAAAGAAAACTAAAGCTGTTGTTTCCATTAATTTGCACAAGGGTGTATATATTCAAAGAAAATAAAAGAAATGCCAATAAAAGAAACCATATCAATTAAAGACTTTCAAAATTAGCAAAAACTAAAATGGATAACACACGTAAATCGATAATGGAAAGAGAAATAACAGTTATATTTTACGAGAAATATTTTATAAATTTCACCCAACAGAACTACTGGATGCTCTGTTACTGAATGCCGAATGTTTCTTTATAAGGAAACGACTTCCAGTGACATTATCTTCAGGTGGAAGCAAACGGCTTTCATAGACCGATCAGTCATTAATACTTTCGGTTGAAATTTATAAAATATTTCTCGTAAATCAGTTTTTCAGGAAAATGTTTGTCAAGTACATTGTTACCACACTTTCCAGTCTTGACGGGGGTTTCCGAGTTTATTTAACCCATAGATTGAGGTGAGCTTATGAGAGCCGGTGATTCTGCCGGGATTTATTATTGGTGGGTACAGTTGTAACAGCATAACATATGCATATGACACCGTACTGGTGGCAGATACAGAAAGAAAATTGCAGTGTGCGAAACCCCTTACAGAATTGTAGAAAAATGCTATAGATTTAAGTACTGTTGCAGGAAACTCACTTTCGTACAAAACCGGCTCACACAAAAGTTGACTCATTTTTGTGTGCATTTTGCAGGCTTCAGATTTGAATTTCTATATTCGTATATATTAACCAATCAGAGACGTCATATGAAATTCGCTGCAGTATTTGAATGTCCAAACAACAATGTTTATCGTCTGCTACGAAAATTTAAAGGCTCCAAAAAATGATCAACAATATTTTCCCTCTTTAAAATAGATATTTAAAAAATTATTAACCTATAAACTTGTGAGTTTAATCAAATTTAAATTTATTCTTTTCGAAGCCGATTTCTCGGTTATAAAAGCAATCGTTTTAACTCGCAGAAATTAGTTTTCATTTAGCCTTTTACCAGGGTCATTTATCTGTTATACAAACTGGAATTACAAAACCTTAATTAATTACTCCTATCGGGTATACTATATTACAAAAAGACTAAGAGATGTTGAGTTAACATACGAACTGAGTTTGTTTAAAAACGTAAGCCGTAGTAAGTTTCCTTGCTTTCCAACTGCTAGAAAATTACAAGCATACATAAAATTATGTAAATACGTGACACATTCATTCTCATATGTAGGAGCAGTCTATTTTCTTAACTAAGGCAATTAAATCGGTCGTATTGTAAAGAAAGTTTTATGAAGTTGTTTCGCAAAGAATCTTTGTAATTCATTTCTTTCAATTTGTATTAAAAATGTATTTAAATTTGTAGAGACGTGTTTCAACTTCTTCGCTTTATCCACGCTTATTCCTATGCAAGTGTATGTGGAGACGTTAAAATAAAACAAGAACACAGTATTAACAATCGGAAAAGTGTGACAATGGAACATCTGAAACAGAATTACGAAGAAAAATGAAAACTAAAAAACCAAACAAAATATTAAGAAGCAGTTACATTTCATCAGAAAAAAATTTCTTTGTCTGATTCATAATCTATGACTTGTCAACCCTTTGCATATTATTTAAAGCCAGAAAATATTTTTTTAGACTGTAAGGTTGCTTTTTTTTTAAGTAAGAATGAGTTAGTGTTACAGGATTTACCAATTAACCCATAGCTGAAGAGCTATGGTGTGGGTTCACACCTTTCCCAAGGATATTTGCGCGTAAGTGAATATAATGAACCCAACTAGAATGCGAACTCGACTCTTCGATTAGTAATTCCGAGCCATTAACCATTACACCAACTGCACATCCAAGCTTATAGCATCTGGTATCACTAAGCGGTCACCCATCTAGATACTGACCAATTTCGAAGTTGCTTAATAACAGGAATTCGTGTTTCAAATTCATGTGACAGTAAGCCGTTAGAAAAGAAAACAAAAGAATGGTCTTATATGGCACTGAATGGTAGACAATCTCCTGACACCTTAAGTAGAGACTTAAGGCAACAACGTTGTGGACCACAAAAGATATTGAGAATACCATGGAAGGATAATGTGATAAATGAAGAAGTTTTAAGAGATATGACATGAAAAAGACGCTCTGGCTTAGGAGAAAAAAGAGCCAGATGAAATTTCAATGACACCAAACAAAGAAAGAAGGTTTAGAGAATTTGACACTCATGGGACATATTAAAGGCTATCTCATCTTGTTATGATTTAATCCTGCTCGTTTATTGCTCGCTCTTTTTCAACTGCAACCAATTACACAATGTCCAATCTAGAGATTGAACTCACAATTAATACGCCGGGAAATCCACGAATCAACTAGATTATTGTCACGTGTTTCAATCAGGAGGGAAGAAATTGGAGCCTTAAACCTAACCTAACTGCTAATGATTGTTGCTGCGGCTTTTCTATGATTTATATCCCTAGACATGTTCAGCAGAACGGGAACTGTCTATCCTCGTAAGTTAAAAGGGTTCAGTTTTAAATTCCCTTAAGGTTACAAGCACCTGATGAAAGGTCGAAACGTTGTGGTAACAAGAACAAAAATAGAAGAATACTCAGCATGTGAATAACGTGAACAACGCTTTGTCATATAGACACTGGGGTTCGAATGCATTTCCGAGTTCGTACGGATGACGAGTTATTTTTATGCTACAACTCATCGCTAAAGATGCAGGTAACATAGTCAGCTTCATGTATCGCTCCAGTAAATATCTGACTCCATATGGCATCCTCTAAATTTACAAGAGACAGATCAGACTGAAAATGAATATTGTTATCATATTTGGGAAGGCGCTGCAGAGAACGCACATTCCAGCCTCGATAGAGTCTTAAAAAGCATCTCCGTGTCCTTGGGCATGTCAAAATATTTTCCAGCCTCCAACCGCTCTCTCACAGGTGGGATGTGGCTAGCCTCACACAGCTTTATCGTTACTTCCATGGAAAGTGCTCGGACGAACTACATTTCTTGATTTCGCCAGTTGTAACCTTTACGGTTAGGTTCCAGTATGCCATATAATTTTTATGAAACCATCTAGATTCCCTCCATAATTCCTATCGATGAGCAGTAAATTTCGATCGAATAGCTTCTTCCCGTGAAACACTACTCTGGGAACAAACTCCCAAGGGGATGTTTCCACGATCACTACAATCTTAACCAGTTCTAGTCTAGAGTTACTCGTTATCTTCCTCTCCTATTTCTATAAACTACCCCTTAACGCAACCCTCGAGTAGCCTCTAGCCGCCCTCTCACAGACGGGAGGTGGCGACCTTCCCACTGCTCTACCGCTACTTCCATAGAAAGTGCTCTGATGACTTAACTTCTTTTGTTCCGCCAGTTCTACCCTTCACAGCAATGACCCACCATACCACTTATATTCTAGCAAACCACCAAAAGTCCATCCGTATTCCATCGGTTAGAAGTAAGTTCCCCTCGAACAGATTCTTCTTGCGAGCCCCTGCTCGGTTGAACCGAATCCTAAGATATTTCCCAGATCATTATAATCTTAACCTGTTCAAGTCTAGAATTAATCGTTATCTTCCCCTTCTATCCGTATAAACTACACTTTAACGCCACCCTCTACTTCGAGTCGAGGCTTTGTACACAGTGAATCTTACCAGGAAAGAGAAATTATATAAATTTATACAGTGAATATTTTAGATCGAATTTCTGCCATTAACTGTTTCAGGCAATGTACTTTTTTTAAGTAGTGGAATTCTTCTATAATTTCTCTGATCATTTGTTAGTGAAACAATTTTGCCTTATCCCGTGGGGGCTACACTTTACTTGCCCTACGACAGACTAATCTAAGATCACTAAATATTTCTAAATAATTTCTTATTGATCACGACAATACCAGGATTGCTAAGAAAAGGAAGTCTCAAACAATTCTGTTTGTTCGGGAAATAGTTTCAGAACAAAACAAAAAAAGCGAACATAAAGTTCATCTGTAAATTATAGGACAGGAGAAAATGAGTATATTTTCGTCATTTAAAGTAATTATTAATTTCGCATCCGCCATTTCGTATCAGGGTGCGCTTCTCATTGGTTAAATTCAAATTAATGAACAAAAGAAAACAACAGAGAATAAAAAAAAACGTAAAAGAGCTCGAATTTTTCGTTTAATGAATACAAGTTTCTCTTAATTAATTAACGTTGATTTCGTGCTAATTGCAGAAGCTGGTCGACATGGAATACTTCATCACAATGACGCCGGACTATAGTCGATGGTCGTCAGATAGAATTGGTTGGAGGAGGTGAGTTGAAATAGAATGTTTCTGGTCGACGTTTGGTGCTAGGGAAAAAGCTTAGTCATAAAATCGGTTCGGTATTTTATTGATTTCTTCTTTTCAAACAGAGGTTGGAGAACGAATAGGAAAAGAGGAATAAATAGGTTGTGGTGGGCTGGAAAATTGTATGGAAGGCTGGCTGGATAAAAAGAAAAAAAAAACGATAACAGTTTGAGGTAAATGACGGTATTGTTTGCCTGTGTGTATTTTTAAGCGAAGTTAAATCAAAAAAAAGAAGTAAAAATACAATTGTTGGGAAAAGAGAAAAGGCTATGAAGGGAGGGGGAAAATCAGAAAGAAAGAAGAACTGAAAAGGAAAAAAGAAAATCAAAGCCAAAAGAGAGATGACAAAAATATTAAACGAAAGATAAGACGAAGGAATGGATAAAGAAATATAAAATCAAAGGAAGAATATGATGGAAAAGAAAGAGAAAAGAAAAAGAAAACAACTAAATGCATAAAGAAAGAACGAACGAAAGAAAGAGACGAAAAAGAAAGTAGAATCAACTATAAAAGGAAAAGTAAAACGAATAAAAAGGTAAGTAAATAACGACAAAGAATAAAAGACAGAGTAAAAAGATAAAGAAAGAAAGAAAGAAAGAAAGAAAGAAAGAAAGAAAGAAATGAAACAATAAGAAAGTATGAAGCAAGGTAGAGAAGATAAAAAAACGAACGGGAACAGGAAGGAAAAAGTAGTGGAAAAAAAGAAAGAAAAGGGCCGAAAATGTGAGAACATAAAAAAGATAATAGGGAGAGGTAAAAATGAAGAAAAGAGTGAAGAAATGATGAGAAAGAATGAAATGAAAAACGAAAATAAAAATAAAAGAGAGAACGAAGGAAAAAAAGAAAGACTGTATTAAAGAAAATATGAATGAAAAATGGAAAATAGAAAAGCATGAAACAAAAGAAAGAAGATAAAAACTAAACGGAAAAGAAAGAAAGAAAGAAAGAAAGAAGAAGAAAAAATAAAGGGAGATAAAAATATAACAAATAGCGAATGAAGGAAAGACAAGAAAAGAAAGACTCCACACAAATAATGAATAATGGAAAGTCAAATCGAAGAAAACAGTAACAAAGAAAGAAACAAACAAAGAAGAAGAAAAAGAAGAAGAATGAGGAAGCGAAATAACTATCTTCTGTGTAAACGAAATAAGTTTTAAAATAATTTGAAAAATAAATCAAAATACTCGAGCCGTCCTCATATCTGAGATAGTAACGCATTTATCGAAACTGATAACACATTTATTCTAGAAAGAGCTAAACTGTATCTGAGTATATTATGCGAAGGAGTTTATCTGGATTACTTTACCGACAGCAGGGAGAAATTTCAGGACTATATTATTAAGATGGGTTGATTTCTGCTTTTCTCGACATAATCTACATTAAGCGTGATTTGATCTCGTTCCATTCTCGTTTTGCTAACCGTTAGGCAGAATCCCAACTCCAATCTAACTTGAACAAATATCCAAACACCAAAGCACATTTACTCCTCTAGAAATGGGAAGATACTTCTCTCCATAATCTTCTGACGATGATGTAAATAAACACAGAAACATTCACCATTACATATTATATATTTTCTCTACTTTATTTCCAGAAGTGAATGCGAAACGGAAATAGAAAATTATACATGAACATACTTTTTTTTTCTTTTTTTGTCTATAAAGGAGCTATCTTTCCTTACTTTTTTTCTGGTAGAAAAAGAACGAACGATGCTTAACAAGAAATGTCCATTCCCAGAGACGACATTAACAATTTGAGCACGCAACCTGAAAATCCTGCAGAGTTTTTGACTCGCTTTTTGTAATACAACCACGTCGTATGTCTGTGATGCTCTTAAAAAAACAGTCAAAGATATTTGCACTCGTGTATAGGAGCAGAATAATGGGAACAAAATTAAATAAAAACCCTTTTAGTAGCTCGGGAATAGGGGGAGAATTTCAAAATTTCTTTCCCGAATCAAAGTTCTGTGCCTCTCTTCAGTAACGCACAGATCCGATGCTACCGATTAGTCAAATATTCGTAGCATTAATCATAGTAACAATAATAGTAAATATAATGAAAATAATGTTGCTAATAATAATAATAGTAATAATAAAATTAATAATAATAATAATAATAATGGCGATAATAAAATGATAATGGCAGAAACAATAATAGTAAATACTAAAAAACTTTGTTCGCCCAAAAATGCAGATTCTGTGATAAATATTCAGAAATAATTGATCATCTTGTATTAGGTTGGGCAGTATTGGCACCCACTGAATATAAAATACGGGACGACAGAGTCGGCCAATATCTGCACTGGAAAATTTGCATCTTCTACGGGAAGGAAATAGAAAGAAATTGTTATGAACATCACTCAAACACGGTTAAGAAGATAGGACCTGTAACAATTTTATGGGACTATACAACGCACACAGACAGAACAATGAAGGCTAACCGCCCAGACATTGTTATTAGAGAGGCCAATAAAAAAAATTGCCTCCTTATTTATATGGCAGTCACTGCAGACTGCAATGTATCTTTGAAGATCTTCAAAAAGCTATCAAAATACAAGGACCTTAAAATCGGAATCTCAAATATGTGGCACATGAGAACATCAATAATCGCTGTTGTAGTTGGAGCCCTAGGACTGGTTGTAATAAATTAGGTAGGATTCCTGGAAACCCATGCCTCAAAGAAATACAAAAAATGTTCTCACAATACAGCCCTCACTTTACGAAGGGCTTTATCTATATATATATATATATATATATATATATATATATATATATATATATATTTAAACAGATTTCTAGTACTGCCAAGTCTAATCAGACATTTGAGGAATAAAAAATATGGGATCATATTAAACATAAGATACAACAATATCCACGTTTAAAACATAAAATGTAAGGTACCTTTCGACCGACACATTTTCAAACACAATCGTCGGTAATCTAAAACGGAGTACTAACAAGAAAATTTTTTATTAATAGCGTAATAAAACAGGATGGTAAGGGAAAAAAAAACTTGTTTTACCTCAAATCATGTAACCGTTCCCCCAAATAAGGCCAACTTAAACTTCATCTCCCGTTGTACGCAGAGGGCTGGCCTACGTATGTTGATAATAACAGACTCCAAAATGTCGAGGTGGAGTCTGTTTCTAGCCCTGTGCAATACCGAAAAGAGATGGGGAGAATACTCAGTCCTACAAACACCAGAATTTAATAGATGTTCACCGATACCAGAGGCATGAGTCTGCGAACACCCGGATGTCACAACCTCATGCCTGCGCACGCAGCCGGGGATATGTTGGGCGATTCTAACCTCAAGCCTCTGGATAGTTTTGCCCACATAGTCGAGCCCGCATCGACATTTAAATTGATAAATAACTAAATTATTATGGTAGGTAGGCAAAACATCCTTACGGCAAGGGGGGAAGGCCCTCCTGGTAGTAAATATGTTCCTGACTGTAACGGCATTATAACATCGTTTAATGGATGAAGAGATCTTATCGGCGTATGTCTGACTCTCAGGACCAATCCAAGGGGGCCTGACATATATAGGACATTTGGAAGGCCCATATTTCTTAATTTCCTTGAACTTCCTGATCTTGCGTTCAATGACAGTTTTAATAACTGATTCGGGGTAACCGTTCTTAAGAAACAATTCCTTAATTGTTCTCAATTCGGCCTCGAGTCTACACTCAGAAAAAATCTTCAATGCCCTATGAGTAAGACAACTTATAAGGTTAACCTTTCTGGCTCTGGGAGCAAAAGAGTCCCAGGCCAGATAAAGTCCTGTAAAAGTGGGCTTCCGGTACACGCTCATTAAGAAACCCGAGGGAGTTCTCTCCACAAGGACATCAAGAAAAGATAAACGATTGTTCTCTTCAACCTCCATTGTAAATTTAAGTGCAGGATGGAGATTATTTAATAATGAAAAAAACACTTCCGCTATTGCACTATTAGAAAATGATGCGAACGTGTCATCAACATAGCGGAAGTAACAATACGGTTTGTTAACCCTCTCAAATAGTTGCCTTTCATGAAAACCAACAAAAATGTTGGCCATCACAGGACCCAAGGGACTACCCATCGCCACCCCGTCGATTTGCTGATACATGCAATTGTCAAAACTGAAGGAGACAGACTTGGTCGCCATCCCCAACAATTCAACAAACACACTCTCAGGAAACAATGGAGATTTACCAGGGCCGCAATACAAAAAGTCCGCACAAATGTCAATAGTTTCATCAATTGGAACATTCGTGAACAAACTACTTATATCAAACGACACAAAATACTCAGTGTCGCTGTTTGGATTTAAATTTTGTATATAATCAACAAACTTAAACGAGTCAGGCACACAATAATCCGAGTAGAATTCTAAAACCGGATCAAGAACATCCAATAACTACTTGGCAAGATTATGTTGGGCGGAACCCAACATAGATAAAATTGGCCTAAGTTGAACGCCCTCTTTGTGAATTTTTGGTAACCCATACATCCTAGGACGTTGGGATATATATATATATATATATATATATATATATATATATATATATATATATATATACACCTGAATATATATATATATATACAACTCGATTCAGGTGTATATATATATATATATATATATATATATATATATATATATATATATATATTAATTGTTCAGTGGAGAATGTCATGATGCGATTTCTGACCTTATGTCTCTTGTTGGGACCCGGAAAGAAATGTACAGACCGGAAATCAAAGGAAATAAAATAATAATAATATTCAATCATGAAAGAAGGTTGTAAATACAAACTAGATTTACATAGAGTAGATTCTGTAGAAAACCCAAACAGTACCCAAGAACCAACTGTTGCAGCAAAAAATATGAAACAGAAAGCCAAGGATAAAGCTCTTGAAAAGATGAAACAACGCTGGCAATACAGCCCACTGCATGACCAATATCCAGAACCAGGCTAATAAAGCCAATGTTGATAAAGTTAACACTTATCGATGGTTAGGAGAATTTGGATTAAAGGCTGAAGTTGAAGGCTTTATTCTTGCGGCACAAGACCAATGTCTTTTAATTAGGAATATTCAGTCATATATCCCACATAAATCCCAGTTTAAGGGAAATACAAAAGATTGTTTTGATAAGTACAACACACAGAAGAGCTTTGTCCATGTAACGCTAGTGATGTTAAAGGAGTTAGAAAAAAACAAATCATGAAATGAATCCATAACAACACGCTCCAACCTGCCTTTGGCTTCTCTTCAGACTTAGTAGGTAGGGTGACCATAGGGTGACCATAGCATAAATCGAAATATAATGATGCTGCTGCTGCTGATAATAATAATAATAATAATAATAATAATAATAATAATAATAACAATAATAATAATAATAAAACTATGTACAGCTCACAAATTACGAAGAGCTTTACCTGTGTAAAATGTGTTTGATCTTGGTTTATTTTTATTTTTTGTTTTTTTATAAAAATGAACAATGAAAATGTCATGAAGCCATTTCTGACCCGATGCCACTGTTTGGGACCCGGAAGGAAATAATAGTATACAATAAAACTCAAAGGAAATAATAATAATAATAATAATAATAATAATAATAATAATAATAATAATAATAATATGATTATTATTATTATCATTATTCTGGTAGAGCCAACATTGTAATCGGTAGAGATTTTATATTTCCTCGAAATTCTAACTCAGCTCAACTCGATTCAGGTGTATTTGGCACGACGTCAAGACTAGGATTTATCACCGGCATGAATGTAATCATCATGTCCCACAATATCTCTAAATCTTGGGGCGAAATTCCGATAACTTTATCAATTTTCGGTTTCATAGAGGTCGAGCTACAGTTACGTTAGCAATGGAGTATGTTTTCTTTTCCTTGTTTAAAATCATCAGTTCAAGTCTTCATGATTGCTTCGGGTGAGACAACATTCGTCTAGACCTTAAAGTTCCAGAATATTTAATTCATTTTGTTTTCAAGTATAGCATTTACTTTGATCCCACCCTATTTCTAATTATTAATCATTGAATTTTAACACCATAAAGAATTATTTGCTTTTGCTGCATATCAGTTGACAGCAAGTACACTTAAGGATCCTGAATTGGTTTCAGTACAAGAA